GGAAATTTTAAACTCGTTAAATCAACAGCCGAAAACACAAAGCGAAACCAGCAACCTGTGACTACTGAATTCGAAAAGGCCGTACAAGAAGAGGAGGCTGAAGATAGTGAATCACCAATCTACTCTTGTCCTCAAGAAGGATGCACTCGTGTTTTCCAGAGATCTTCTGCACTAGAAAATATCTTTCTTTGGAATCCTGCGCCAGCATTCTTGAAAAACAGACCATGTTGGATGTTGCAAAAGAAAAATATGCATTCCTTTTAAAGGAAGATGTTTGCGCGATTCCATCCATAAGCACTTCTTGCAGCACTGTCGTTGCCGATTCCTATCCTGTTGCCCAGGAGGGGTGGGCACTTAAAGAATCGACAAAAAGTTACTGTTTCAACGAAAAGCAAAAAAGCAACCTAACCTCTAAGTTCAACAACGGCCAGGAGACAGGACGGAAAATGAAAACGGACGTTGTATCGAAAGAAATGAGGCATGCGCGCGGGGTCACCAGCTATTCGGTGTCACGGAGTTTCTTTCTGTTGAACAAGTTTCCTCATTCTTTTCTCGCATGGCTGCAAAGGTCCCGCAGCAAAAGATCACTATAACGGAAGCAGATGCTGCGGCTGGTGTAGAAGAGGATAATTTTCATGAAATGAGAAACAAAGTTTTGTCATCGTTGCAACTACAACACCCTATCGTTTTTTATCAATATAATGTATGTGATATGGTGAAAAGTAGTACTCTGAAAAAATTGAAAATGGATATGCTTCAACGCCTATGCGAAGAACTTACCCTCGATGTTCCAGAAATGTCTGGCAAGAAGAAGAACACAAAATTACCTTACATCAAGCTCCTAGAAAGTGCTGTTTCCGGATGCTCCTGTAACACTGGCTGACTGCTACAGATGAACGAAAACTGTACTGTACATTTCTATAGACTATACCCTTAACCAGTAAGTCACAAATTTAGTTATATTTGCCAAAAACTTGACGAATCAAGTTAGCGCTCCAAACAATGATATAGTTTTAACGTACGATGTCTTAAAGCAAAATAGCGTCGCATTAGTAAAGTTTAAATGTAAAAGAGTTTTATTGTTTAGGGAACACTCATACCGAGGGGGTATGAAGATGTTAAGGGGGCACCAAAATATTTTCAGGCATTAAGGGGGGGGGGGGCTATCAAAGTTCTCTGTATATACAGAAGTGGGATATAAATATTTCAATGTTTTGATGAGGCGGGGTCTCATCATGATAATTTATTATAACAACATAAAACGCTCTCTGAGTTTCCAGCGATATACATACCCTTTTCTAGATATATACCTAATAATAATAAACGAACGAACGAATGTATTCCTTCCACTCGTGAGCTCATTTACCATTGTCACATATAGTAAATGTCCAGGCCTTGTGACCCTGGATGGGCACTTAAAAGGAAAGAATACACACACACAAACTGCGCATGAACGAACGTTCAAAGAACGTTCGTTTGAACGAACGTTCTTCGACCAATTTCATATTGTTATTTTTGGTGCTTTGCACTTAAATCCTACAGTTGTAGGTAAATATTCCTGAAGGTCATGGATTTGACTAAAGGTTTGTAATTGATATTCATATTTCCTGATATGGTTTGTTATGATATGACGACAAGGAAATGAGTCGTGTGAGACATATTGTTTATGCTAATAATAATTTTGTAGGTGGCTAACAAGAGGCATTCACTTTGAACGTTCGTTCATGCGCAGTTTGTGTGTGTGTATTCTTTCCTTTTAAGTGCCCATCCAGGGCCACAAGGCCTGGACATTTACTATATGTGACAATGGTAAATGAGCTCACGAGTGGAAGGAATACATTCGTTCGTTCGTTTATTATTATTAGGTATATATCTAGAAAAGGGTATGTATATCGCTGGAAACTCAGAGAGCGTTTTATGTTGTTATTTTATTTCCTGAGTACGTGTCTTCGACCAATTTCATATTGTTATAATTTATTATGTGTATATGAGACTCTGAAATATGAGTGTGTGTATGAGACTCTGAAAACGCTGTTTCTGACTAACCTTGGCGTGGCGCCTGCAATGAAGTCACTAACCTAAACAAATTTCTCAACTGCCCTTCTGACTGTCGAAGAAAAGTGTGTCCTTGTCAACTAGTCTTATTCTAATGCTGAGCATAAAAATACCTCAATTCCTTGGTCCTTGGGTTCTGATTTCTGGGCGGCATTGAAATTTTGAAATATCCTTTGGGCGGGATCGTCGAAAATATTGCGATAACTCCAACAGGACCCCGAAAAAATATGACCCTTTTTGAAGACATCTTCATCCCCCCGGCATAGTAAATAAACAAATTAAAACTGGTTACTAAATTAAAATTGGTTTTGTGAATTGCCAATTTTAGTTTCGTTAACAAAATTATAGATTGACTGGTTTAATGTGACGCGTTTGTACTAGCTGGCCTCTATTATCGATTGGTCTCAGCTAAAATACTCCCTTGCATGAACTTACAAAACGCATTCATCACTCAGATCTCTAATGTACTCTTTCAAAGTTTGTCTTAAAAATTAATAGCGTTGTTTTTGTTATTCCGCGTTCTTTTGTTAATGAAATGCGACAAAACTGTCACTGTAATAACCGTTGTAATGTACAAACGTGTTGTCAGGCAAAATCTAAAAATAGCATCAACATTTTGACTTCTCACTGGTGCGGGTTTTGCTTGCCGTTAGAGATTTTTTAATATGTTATAAACAGATGGCTACTTTGCAAGTTAGTCTTATTTTCGTTGCAATTTGTCATGTACCACGGTCCATTTGAACACATTGAAATTGACAAATATTTGCCTTTCTGTTGTGAACCGTAAACGCCAAATATTAGCTAGCTTTAAATGTCAAGAAAGATTTTGGAATAAAAAAAGATTTTGCTGCTAAGACAAAATATAGAGATGGTCTTAGATTACACTAAAAAATGGTGACCGTAATATGTTTGAAGGGTAGCCGTCACGAACGCTTTAAAATCCTGTATTTTGACTGATGAAAATTGACTTAAAAGTCCCAAAATCATGTTTAGGTAATTTCACGAAAAATAAGAGGAGCTGCGACTTTTGAACTATATTTTTCAAAATAACTCACTCAGTGGAAACTATGGGTAAAATAAAGGAATTTCGAATTTTCCAATTTGTCGCCCAATTCTCGAAATTTACGGACATTACATTACGGATTTACTCTTAATCGTTTAGCCGCCTTTAGCGAGCGTATTAGTATAAATTCACGAATTTTCATAATTCTTCACTCCATGCAATCCGCCATCTTGGATGACAACTCCTCCCCACGTGCATACCCTAGAGGCGAAATCACTGCGCAAGCAAGATGCGCAGAACGGCTCAACCATGTCGTGTTTTGGCAGGCATCTCACCGACTTTCTGAAGTACGTGAAGTACGAGATGCCTGCGGAGGAGGCTAGAATCCACTGGTATACGGCCGAAAAAGAGAAAACCAATGATACCAAAGTTATCAAGGATCAAACGTACTGCATTTTATTATAATTAGTTTAATAATTTTGAGCGATTGTCAACAATACAATTTCGCTTGGCTTTCAAAACCAAACGCCATAAATTCCTAGAATACTGTTGTTCAGTAATACTGTACATTTGACATCCGTAATTAGTACAATTTCTAACGCTGAATCGAACGGTGGTATTTTCAGGGGCGCCGGAGCCAAGGGGGTAGCGGGGGCAACTGCCCCGTTGCCCAAACATTGCGGGGCAGCACGGGGGCAACAGGTTGCCCTTTTTGCCAGAACTGCACCTCAAAATTTGTGCATTATTCACAGAAATTGGAATTTAGAACTTAATTTTTAAGCAATGTTTAAAGATGCGGTACAGTCCGTATGTAAACAAAGCCTTTGTTTACATTTCGGTATCCAAAATATACAATTTTATTCGAAAACTATTTATATTTTCTTGACTCTAGAGTATGATAAATTATCAAGACACAACAATCAAGCTTTGCAAGAACACAAAATGAAATAAAAACGTAAATAAACTGTTTGTATAATAAAAAGAGGGCCCGATCCCTTGTGCATATACGCAGATCGGACTTTACAGCATCTTTAAGGAATCTTTGCTTAATTTTTAACCAGTTGTAGTAAAATTAATGCTAAATCAAGCAACATACGTTCGTTTACTGGTTTTATTTTCCGCCTTTAGCACGGTGCAACGAATAAAGTGTTCAGATTAATGTCGACGTTTGCCGACCCATAATAGCCACAAGTAACCGAGTATCCATACGGTAAAGTTTTAGCAAATATTGCTGCCCAGAAAAATGAAGTGCCCTTTTGAAATGGCTTTGAAATTGCTTCCGGCGCCCCTGGGTATTTTTATCCTTATTGCGCCATTAGGCATTACAAATACACTATGAAACGTACTCAGAGTGATTTGTCAACAAATTATACAATTTCGCCTGATTTTCAAAGGCCATAATTCGCTAGAATACTGGTGCTTAGTAATACCCCAGCGGGCAAAATGACGTTTATCCAACGTTGAATCAACGTTGGAAATGACCTTCCAGACGTTGGACAGACGTTGAAAAAGGGTTGACTATGCAAATTGGATCCACGTTACTGTTTCGACGTTGAAACAACGTTGAAATTAGGTTGCCAATCTCGTCAACCATAATTCAACGTTGAATCCACGTTAAAACATCGTTGAGATTGGTTCACAAATCGACGTCGTACATTTAACCATGAATGAACGTCAATTCAACGTCTGTTGGCTGCTGTTGAACCAATGTTTGTAAAACAACGTCAGAGCAACGTAGATATTCGGTTGTCGACGTCGCAACCTTTTTTCTACCAAATTTCAACGTTGAAACAACGTCGTGTGCCCGGTGGGACATTTGTAATACATTAGAAGTCCGTAAGTACAATTTCTTACGCTGAATCGAACTGTGGTATTTTTATCTTTATTGCGCCATTAGGCATTACAAATACAAGGACAAAGGTAGTGCGAAGTGATTTGTCAACAATACAATTTCGCTTGATTTTCAAAGGCCATAAGTCGCTAGAATACTGGTGTTTCAATAGTAATACACTTGATATCCGTAAGTACAATTTTTTACGCTGAATCGAACGGTGTCGCTTTCTTGTCAAAATATAAAGCAGCGAAGTAACGTAACTTGGGAGTTGCGATTTGCGAAGGTTGTTGTTTCCATGTCGAAATTCCTTGTAAAATTGTTCAATTTTCCCGAATTTTCCTCAAAATGCAGGGTTATTTATGGATAATTTGGGTAAAATTGGCAGGAGCCTTATGGATAATTGGGGGAAAATTAGGGAGCACATTAAGATTCTATTTTGTGGCTATCG